CCGTTCCTGGACCTGATCTGCTTATCTCTGCTCCTGACCAGCCACGTTCCCGGACGTTCAAGTCCCTATCTCGCAGACACGTCCGTTAGATAGTGGTTACGCAATATGGAAGCTATGTTGAGCCCCGTTAGGGGAACCTGTTCAGCCAAATGTCCAGATGATGCAGATGATGCAAAGCAGAAACTTGCATTTCTTGCATCCCTAAAGCCTTCAAGATACCCAACATTAGCGCGAAAGCACTTTAAGCCGGTTCCAAAAACGTGAAAAACACAGGATTCTAGAGCAAAAATGGGCCCCCCCCTAGCTAAAGCTATTGTATACTGACGATACTAACGGATTGCAAGCATGCCCTATAAAACGCCTCAGCACCTTCGGTGCGGGCGGATTTTTTGAGTGGGGACCATGGCCCATTGTTTAGTTCTTGTCTCAGGTGGTGGTCAACGTCTTCGAGCACTTCAACAACTTCCCCTTGTTGCTTCTGGGTCGTGTCCTTGGCGGAGCGCCTCGGCAGAGTTTGCGCTTCGTTTTCTCATTGATGTGGCTTGTCCCTCCAAACACACGGCCTTTTGCAGTTTATCTTTTGAATTTGGTGCGCAGCACACATCGATCCGGGATTGGCCAGGTGAGCACGTCTCTTCTCTTCTCGGCTTTTGAGCCTGGCAGCACAGAAGTCCGTTTGAAGAGACATTTTGACATAGTGTAAACACAGTTTGGCCCAGATATATAACTGCTCGATATGACTGACAGATTTTAAGCATCGGGAGCAGCTTTGATGCCAATAGACTAACGGAGACTCTGGATGGTTGCTGCGTATTCTACTCAAATACATTCAATCATCCATGCCCCTGTTACGCACGCCAGTAAACAGCGGGTGTTATAATTTTGCATGATTCATAGATTCAAAACCACATTGGCCCGAGCCGAACTTCCAACTGAGAGAAACTGCGATGCCAGGACATGGATGGTCTCCGAGCACCGGAAGCGTGGCTTCCCCGAGGGTTGGCTTGCAGACACATTTGGTGCGCTTCTCTTCAGTGTGCAAACTGCTTTCTGGAAGAAGGAGCAAGGACGCTACTAGGGGCGCTCCTGACGCTACTAATAACAAAGGGCATCGCTACCAGGAGCAAGGAGGCTACCTCTAGAGTCTAGAGGTGATCGTGAAACATCAACTCAGGCGCTGCAGTTGAACTGATGGTATGTGTTTGTCCTCTCAAACCTGCAGCCGACAGCGTGCCTTCAAACAGGCTGACACCTTCTATATAGTCAAGACTCAACAATTCACCACTTGCGTACAGTAGCCATTCCCCTCTAACAGCAAGATTGAAGCTTGCTGCAAAGCTGCTTGTCAATGTGTAGCCGCAGCCATGAAGAAAAAAGCGTGCATCTCCCGAGACTTGGAGAGAAATACCGGAAGAAGCTTTTGTCGACGTCAAAGAAGCGATGCTGTTGGGTGGACTCGGTGGAGTGAAGAAGCTGCTTCGCGGAATGTTGAACGGATGCTTCACGGGTGAAGATGTTGCAGAGAGGTTTCTATAACATCTAAAACCTCTAAGGAGCTGGGGTCGACCACGGCAGCCAAGCAGCACTTCCTCCAGGCATTGAGGAATGAAGAATGCGGAATGATGCGGAATCAAAGCTTTGTCCTTGCGTTTGGAAGCGGACAAAAGCGGGAGAGGTCGGGCAGCAGCCGGCCGCCGCTTCCAAGCCCTCGCATTGAGCACAGGCCTGTGTTTGCAAAGCACACTGTTGCACCTTTCTTCCTAATTCGTTCTGCCAGGGGATTGACAGAGGAGGAAGGCCGCGAACGGTCCCGTCTTGAGTCGGCCCGTCGTCGGTGGCATGGGCCAGGTCGACGGCCCGTGGTCCCTCGCAGCAGCTTGGTGTGAGTCGCACATTGTGACGGTTCTTTTTTTGGCTCCGAAAGCGCTGAATGTGACACAAACATCGTCCAACACTGGCAGATAAATCACCGACCTGAGGAAACAGCTTCAATTTGATTGGGAGCAGGAGACCTGACATGGGAGCTGGACTTCACATGCATAGTTTCATGATTTTTCATGTCTATTTGCAGTAAGTGGCTGCTAGGAGATGGCGCCACGAGATGCACCTGTCCCTGCCAGGTGTTGAGAAGGCCAAGCAGCGAAACTCTGAGAATTTGCGGAGTTTGCTGTTGTCTGTTTAAACAGCCTTCAAAACACTTGTCTCACATGAAGCCTTATTATTTTTCTATTGGGAATGCTCACTCCGAAATCACCGAATGCTCTCCTCAATGCCTTTGAAGAGATGTGCACGTGTGCACAAAGAACAGACGCATACTGGCATTGGCATGTTCTGGCCTTTGATGCATACCAAAGGACACCATGAAGCTTGTAGGGATGAGTGACAGTGCTATTAGCATTCGTTTGCCAATCCCCAAAAACAAAAATAGGAGAATCGAAAGTACCGGTCATTGGCTCGCGGCTTCCCGTGCCCAGCGCAGCGCTTCTGCACAACCGATGCCTCGAAGGGCACCGAGCCATCCACCCAGATCGAAAAGACACAGATTGAACATCATTGGACCATTGGTTTTGGATTTGGTTTTCTAACCGAAAAGAAGCTACTAGGAACAAGTGCATCGCTTCTAGTAACAAGTGCCTTACTAGTAGTAACAAGAAGCTATTAGAAACAATAAGCTACTAGGAACGATTTTGTCACTCAGGTGCTGACTCGAATCATCCGGGATGCGTGGAACGCTCCTGTCTGCAGGCAGGTCGGATTCGCTTGCGAAAGGTGAGAGTTCCGTTTGGGAAGACCTGGACATGGCTCAGGTCCTTGGATCAAATTCGGAGTTCGCATCATTGTTGCTTTCTGTGGGCGTCTAAAAACTCATATACAGATTGTATAGGCTAGTTGTTGGCTGCTTAACTTAAAAAGCCTACAGCTTCTGGCTTATGCTTGCTTGAAATGATCAGCTTTTTGCTGATTGGATTGGAGGTCTCTCGCAGGCGGCAGAGCCCGCGCCGCGAAGGCCGGCTTCGATGAAGGAAGACGTATGAAATCCAAAACACATTTTTATATTGAAACAAATTACAGTCCGTAGTTTGCTTGGGATGAAGTGATAATCGCAACGTGTTTTGGGTTTTTGGTTGTTGTGTTTTTGAATCAACCAAAGGCCAAAGCTTCTGCAATGATTTGTTCTGCAATCCAGTCTCAAAGCCAGGGAAGAGAATTCAACTCACGACAGAGTCATACTTTCTTTTCTTGATGCGCGCTTACACAAACACTCTTGGCCTTACACAAACGTGCTTGAGGTAGATCTACTTCCTCTGAAGGGCCAAGTGAGCAGTCAGGCCAACTTGCCTCAGCTTGCATGGCTGTCAGCTTTTTGATGGTATGGCCTTCATGGCTTTGACAGGCGGACCAGGCGGATACCAGTCCCACTACGTAAAGGTCGTGAAGACCAAGTCGCAGCTTGACAAGGCCCCTCTTTGCGGATTACATGTCTTGGCTTGCTCATGTTTGCTCTTTGATAGCTCGTTCTTTTCAATCCCAGACAGCCTCCCCTTCATAGAATCATA